GCCTCAGCCTCCCGAGTAACTGGGACTACAGGCGCCCGCCACCTCACCCGGCTAGTTTTTTGTATTTTTTAGTAGAGACGGGGTTTCACCGTGTTAGCCAGGACGGTCTTGATCTCCTGACCTCGTGATCCACCCGCCTCGGCCTCCCAAAGTGCTGGGATTACAGGCTTGAGCCACCACGCCCAGCCAATATGTCCCTTTTAACAATAGAAAGAGCCCATTCTTCCCTTATCCTCTCCTCTTATTTAATTTGTAAGCCAACTGAAACAGACAATTAAATATAGGCCTTTGAAACAGAGGCCTGTGGTGGTGATATGGACTACCGTGCAAGTAGAGGCATCAATTGCTCATCTCATCTAATCTTCCATCCATGGTCAAAAGATAGCTGATCCTTTGCAGGAATGTGGTTGGTGATGGGAACAGTGTAACTCCTCTTGGACCATCTATTAACTGTATGTGGTGTCATTCAAGGAGCAAGCCCAGGAGTAGTTTTAAAGCGCTGTTTGAGTGAGTGAGATACTCATCACAGTCAGTACTACCAACTTGGGTAGACTCATTCTTTTTATATTCTTTCCCCCTTGCTTCTGCCATTAAAAATGGAGGAGTGGTGACATTCACCACTGGTCTATATCACTTAAAGTTGTCAAATCACAGAAAAAAATAACTTTTTTCTTCTTTAAGATTTTTTTGTATAGTTATAACAATGTACTTTTCCTTTCTAAAGCTCAAGTTTCCAGCTGGGGCTTACTTTTTATTGGTTGGTCTGCTTTTTTGTTTTGTTTTGTGAAGTTCAGTAACAGTAAACTAGAAGGTGACAGCATTTTGTAAGCACAAGATTTTAAAATGATCCTCAGAGCCGCTCTTTCTTAGGGGAAATAATTATAATGATCTTCATGTTCTTCATCTTCCCCTTGCTGGGGAATTTTTTACTTCATTTTGAAATACTCTTACTATTCAGAGTTCTTCCTCATGAGTCTGATTTTATTGTTCAGTATCACATAGAATATCTGTTTTTTTTTTTTTATTATTTGTTTTGTTTTGAGATAAGAGTCTCTCTCTGTCACCCAGGCTGGAGTGCAGTGGCACAATCTCAGCTCACTGCAACCTCTGCCTCCCAGGTTCGAGAGTCTCCTGCCTCAGCCTCGCCAGTAGCTGGGATTACAGGTGTGTACCACCACAACTACCTAATTTTTGTATTTTTAGTAGAGATGGGGTTTCACCAGGTTAGCCAGGCTGGTCTCGAACTCCTGACCTCAAGTGATCCACTCACCTTGGCCTCCCAAAGTGCTAGAATTACAGGCGTGAGCCACGGTGCCCAGCCAATGTCTGTATTTGAAAAAAATAATTGTTTTACTGTTGTCTTATACAGATATAGGAAACCTAAAATGATTTTTATAGTAACCATTTCTTTTTGTTCTTCATAGTTTTTTTACTCCAGTGTTTATTCCTAGACATATAGTTTAATCTTGCTTATTTTGTTTGATGATACATCTTTAAAGCGTCTTAATCTACAGGTGACAGAATGCAGGCCATTTAGACTATGAAGTTTCCTGGGCCTAGGTTTTACTGATGCTTATTCTCAGTGCAATTCAACGTGTTCCACTTTTCTCTGTATTACCTAAATATTGGCATCTGAATTCTGAGGCTTGATCAGACTCAGTTTTGATCCTTGCAGCCTAGTGGTGGTATTATGTTATTTTACCATAAGACACCTAATGTCTAGTTGCTTTTCTTTTTCCAGTATTGACGGCTATTGATGTTCATTGCCTATATCTGTTAATTCATTGAAGTTGCAAAATGATATTCTAATTTTATCAAATCTTTTTCATTTATTAATTGGAATATTTTATAAACAGACACTATCCCTCATCTACTATTTGATTATAAATTCTCTTTGGCTACTCTTTGATGCAGTTCATATAGGAAAAATAATGCCCCAATTTTGATCCAATTAAGTCTAGCAGTGTTATTGAAGACAAGTGTCTTAATAATGCTCAAGAAAGTCTTATAAGGTAAGTGATTGAATGAACGATCATAATTCTCTTAGTATATCTTTTCCCAGGCTAAACATCTCAAAATCCTTCAACAGTTTTCTCTATATCTCTGCTTCCAAGCCTTTGTTATCTTGGATGCTATATTCCGAACTATTTATAGATAGTTTGTTCTTCCTTTTAACAGGCTAAGTGAAAAAAAGCAAAATATATACCATACAATAGGTCTATACTAAATTCTACCAATGTGGGAGTATACTAAGTCTGTTACTTTCCTTGACTTATTATTTCAAAAACGAATCTGATTTTGTCTTAAATTGTTGATTTTTAAGTTCTTATTTTTCTGCCTTTGTGTATATGATTGACTTAACATTTTAGTTCACGAAGTCCTCATTGGTAGTAATTGCTACTCATATGCCCCAAATATTCCAAATGATTTCTTTTTTGTTGTTGTTATTCAGAGGAATAACAAGAATACAGATGGCCTAAAGAAAGGTATTTCTGGCTGGGCACGGTGGCTCACACTTGTAATCCCAGCACTTTGGGAGGCCGAGGTGAGCGGATCATGAGGTCTGGAGATCAAGACCATCCTGGCTAACACAGTGAAACCTCAACCTCTACTAAAAACACAAGAAATTAGCCGGGCGTGGTGGTGGGTGCCTGTAGTCCCAGCTACTCTGGAGGCTGAGGCAGGAGAATGGCGTGAACCCGGGAGGCAGAGCTTCCAGTGAACCAAGATTGTGCACTCCAGCCTGGGTGACAGAGTGAGACTCCGTCTCAAAAAAAAAAAAAAAAAAAAAAAAAAAAAAGAAAGGTATTTCTGTAGCCATTATTTCCCAGCGGACAGTTGTTGTGTAATATAAAATGCCTTTAAAACTTGTAGCTATGTCTCAAGGCTGCTGAGAGGTTGCAAAACTCTTCAGTGTGTTCGCCATATGCTCAATCTTTTGATAAAGTCTCCTGTGAAATCTATTCAGATTGTATTACAAGTTAGCATTGAAAAAATTCCTGTCATATGTGGTTACAAGTCTGCAGTCTTTTCTCAGTTGCTAAAAGCACATGTGGTAGTGGAATTAAGAGCCTTGTTAAACAGCTGCTGCCAATGACCTCAAAGTGACATCTAGCCAGGACTGACAGTTATAGTAATTGCTATGTTAATGTGCAAATTTAAAACATCAATAAAGGCCTGGTGCGGTGGCTCACTCCTGTAATCCCCAGCACTTTGGGAGGCTGAGGCAGGTGGATCATTTGAAGTCAGGAGTTCGAGACCAGCCTGGCTAACATGGTGAAGCCGTCTCTAGTAAAAATACAAAAAATTAGCCAGGTGTGGTGGCGGGCACCCGTAATCCAAGCTACTTGGGAGGCTGAGGCAGGAGAATTGATTGAACCCAGAGACGAGGGTTGCAGTGAGCCAAGATCAAACCATTGCACTCCAGCCTGGGCAACAAGAACAAAACTCCATCTCAAAAAAATAACAATAATAAAATAAAATAAAACATCAATAAAGTTTTTCTTAACATTGGTAAATTACTTCATGACATGGAACTGATGAGATTATAGGTTTTATTGCCTTGACACATTTTCTAGCCAGTTATTTATAAGATATTATTTATTGTTGGCTATTTCAACATGTGAAATTCAGGTATGAGATACATTTTTTTCACTTAAATATTATGTGGCTGGTATAGTATTTTGTATGTTCCATGTACAGAATGGGGGCTTATATACCAGATAAGGGAATTAACTTTCATATTAATTTGACAGCCTTTTAGTTAAATATATGCCATACTTGATTTTGTTGCTATGCCAACATTTGCTTGTGTGATTCTCAACTTTGCTGCTTTCTAAATATGGCATATGTAAAGGATCTCTGGCAATTTGCTTAATTTTATAATCAAAAGTCTGTTGCTTCAGACCTGTTAATAATTGAATTTCCATCATATGTAATTTTATTTTTCTATGCCTTCATTTAATGTATTTTGTCTTTGAAGACCTACTAGCTTTTGAAACCTATGAAATCTAAAGTCTGTTTTGTTTCAGGAATTAGGAAATTGCATAGAAGTAGAAACTGTAAAATCAATCCCTTTGTAAAAACTTGGTATTTAGGCCAGGCACAATGGCTACTGCCTGTAATCCCAGTGCTTTGGGAGGCCATGACGGAAGGATCACTTGAGTCCAGAAGTTTGAGGCCAGCCTGGACAATGTGGCGAGATCTTCTCTCTATAAAAATAAAGATAATTTTTAAAAAAGAGAGTGTTAAAAAAATCTTCTGGGAAAAGGATTGTAAAAAATAGAAAAAAAGACTTGGTATTTAAGAACCTATAGGTTGGCATATATATGGCATTGTACCCTATTACTGAAATCTGAAATTTCTTACGACATTTAAAAATTTTGCAGGCCGGGCGCGGTGGCTCAAGCCTGTAATCCCAGCACTTTGGGAGGCCGAGACGGGCGGATCACGAGGTCAGGAGATCGAGACTATCCTGGCTAACCTGGTGAAACCCCGTCTCTACTAAAAAATACAAAAAACTAGCCGGGCGAGGTGGCGGGCGCCTGTAGTCCCAGCTACTCAGGAGGCTGAGGCAGGAGAATAGTGTAAACCCGGGAGGTGGAGCTTGCAGTGAGCTGAGATCCGGCCACTGCACTCCAGCCTGGGCGACAGAGAGAGACTCCGTCTCAAAAAAAAAAAAAAAAAAAAAAAATTTTTGCTAGCCTTCAGTGATTTAAGACATTAGAGAATTCTTCAAAAAAAGTTTTAAACCAAAGTTACATGAGCATTGCCTCAACTGGAATATGAATGGTATATTGCAAGAAATAAAAAATTCCAAGAATATTAAATATTTTTGATGTTCATTTGTAATTTAAAAAACTAAGTCTAGAAAAAAAGATAGCATTTTTTCCCAAAATAAGATGGAAAATATATGAGAATTGATGAGCAGTGATGATAAGAATGTATGAGCCTATGCGCATGGCTTAATATAGTAACACTTTCTAAATTTCTAACTTTAGGTGATGGAATATGAGAATAGGATTCGAGCCTACTCCACACCAGACAAAATCTTCCGATATTTTGCCACCTTGAAAGTCATCAATGAGCCTGGTGAAGCAGAAGTGTTTATGACGCCAGAAGATTTTGTGCGATCCATAACACCCAATGAAAAACAACCAGAGCGTAAGTTGCTAAAGTGAAATATAAGATTGTGATATTTATTTTTTATAAGCTACTTTGTCTCTTTCTACATAGTACTGAAATCTTCCAGGTCCTTGTAATAATGTTATGAACAGTATGCTTATTGAATATCAGGCATTGTGCTAGGCTTTAGGAGTACAAAAGAGAAGCCTGCAGTCTAATGTGGCAATCTGCAACCAGGGTAAGAGGTGAAGGAGATTGTGCCCCTCTGGTTGAGATTCATTGCCTGTAATTAGATTGTTCCTGAAGGCAATACATTACACATATAACTGCTATCAAGTCACTCTTTAGTGAGGAAAACTAGAAAACATATGGAGTATGAAATTAACACACTTTTAAACAACCAGTAGATCAAATACATAATCACAAAGGAAGTTAGAAAATGCTTTCAGTTGGATGAAAAGGAATACAGAACCTCCAAAAACTTATGCAGTACCACAAAAGCAGTGCTCAGAGGGAAATTTATAGTTATAAACACCTACATTTAAAAAGAAGAATGATCTAATCAATATTCTAACTTTCACACACATAAAACAAGGTTATATATTGATTGGTTGTGAAAATGTTGTGACCATAGGCTCAAAGGAGCTTAACCCTGAATTTCCCCAAGAGCAATAGGTTGATATTCACTAATTCATTGTCCACAGTGACTGTACAGAACATAACTACAAATAGCAAGAATTGATTGTACAGTCATGGGCCACTTAATGATGAGGATACGTTCTGAGTAATGTGTCCTTAGGTATTTCGTTATTGTGCAAACATCATGAAGTACTTAATACAAATCTAGATGGTATAACCTACTACACATCTAGACTATATGGTATAGCCTCTTGTTCCTAGGCTATAAACCTGTATGGCATGTTACGGTACTGAATACAGTAGGCAATTGTAACACAGTGGTAAGTAATTGTATATCCAAACATATCTAAACATATAAAAGATGGAAAATAGTGCACCTGTAGACTTTATAAGCGTTGTACACTTAGACTACACTAAATTTATTTTAAAAATAAAATAGTTGTACTATGATGTTACTATTGGTATAAAGTCACTAGGCAATAGGAATTTTTAGCTCAGTTATAATTTTATGGGACCACCACTGTAGATTAGTCCTTTGTTGACTAAAACATCGTTAAGCAGCACATGACTGTATATGGTATAGGAGTAGGATATAAAGAAACTAGTTCTTTTTTTTTTGAAATGGAGTTTCACTCTTGTCACCCAGGCTGGAATACAATGGCGCAATCTCAGCTCACTGCAATCTCCGCCTCCTGGGTTCAAGTGATTCTCCAGCCTTGACTCCTGAGTAGCTGGGATTACAGGCATGTGCCACCATGCCCAGCTAATTTTGTATTTTTTAGTAGAGGATGGGGTCTGGCCATGTTGGCCAGGCTGATCTCAAACCCCTGACCTCAGGTGATCCACCTGCCTCAGCCTCCCAAAGTGATGAGATGACAGGTGTGACCCACTGCACCCGGCTAAGAATCTAATTCTTTAGAGAGTATATAGGAAGACATCCTAAATGGAGTACTATTTGAGTTGGGTTTTGAAAAATGAATAATAGCTCATTATATATAGGAGAAAGAAAAGACATCATTCAGAGTGAGTAAATTGTGTGGTCAAAAATACAGACAGATGGGCTAGGTGCTGTGGCTCATGCCTGTAATCCCAACCCTTTGGGAAGCTGACGCAGATGGATTATTTGAGCTCAGGAGTTGAAGACCAGCCTGGGCAACATGGCGAAACTCCATCTTTACGAAAAATAAAAACATTAGCTAGTCATGGTGGTGCGTGCCTGTAGTCCCAGCTGCTTGGGAGGAAGAGGTGGGACGATGGCTTGAGCCTGGGAGGTGGGTGTTGCAGTGTGCCGAGATGACACCACTGCACCCAAGCCTGGGCAATAGAGCCAGACCCTGTCTCCAAAAAAAAAAAAAAACCAGACACATGAAATAACAAAGTGAGCTTAGGGAACCAAAAACATTTATGTCATTTTCTAACCAGAAAATTCATAATATTTTGCCCACATTATTAATATTCACATATCTCTAGGTCAAATAAAAACTATGTAGAACCATCACCCCTCCAAAATGTATGAAATTTGCTATTTAAATTTTTTGGTTGTTGGCGGGGTGCAGTAGCTCATGTCTGTAATCCCAGCACTTTGGGAGGCTGAGGCAGGCAGATCTCTTGAGATTAGGCATTAGAGACCAGCCTGGCCAACATGGCACAACCCTGTCTCTAATAAAACTATAAAAATTAGCTGGGTATGGTGGTGCACACCTGTAATCCCAGCTACTCGGGAGGCTGAGGCAGGAGAATTGCTTGAACCCAGGAGGCGGAAGTTGCAGTGAGCCAAGACTATGCCATTGCACTCTAGCCTGGGTGACAGAGTGAGACGCTGTCTCAGCAGGAGAGAGAAAGAGAGAGAGAGAAAGAGGGAGATAGAAAGAGAGAGAAATAAAAATAAAATTTTGGTTATGGAAATTTTCAAACCTGAAAAGTAGAAAATGTAATCAACCCATGTGCACACATCACTTAGCTTCAACAATTATAACACATGGCCAATCTTGTTTCTTCTATAACCTCTCTTACTTCCTTTCCTCACCCCAGATTGTTTTAAAGCCAATTCAAGACATGTAGACAACCTGTAAATACTTTTGCATGTGTCTCTAAAGTACGAGAACTTTAAAAACAATAATACTTTTTAAATAATTGCATTTAAAAACAGGCAGCAGTTATTCCTTAATAGCAAATATCCAGGCACTGTTCACATTTTCCTATCTAAAAAATAACTGTTAGAGTTGGTTTGTTTAAATTAACCTCTACACTGCATTTGATTGATATGTCTCTTCAGTCTTTTATCTACCGTTTTTTTTCACTTTCGTGTTTTTTTATTGCCATTTATGTGAGACATATTTTATGCCTCGTCTCACATTTCTCAGCCCACCTTTTTGCTCAGGTTGCTGCTGCAGCAGTTAGTTGTACAGTGTTGCAGCCTGACAGGACAAAGCCTCAGCTATGTTGTGTATCTGTTGCTTTCTCCTATAGGGCATCTCTGCTGCTATAGCATGGAGCACCTGTAGGAGCATACTCAACCATGTTGGCACATGCACACATTTGGAGATACAAAAGCATTAACACTTACTGCTGAGAATTGGTGGATACCCTCTTCTCCATTGTCTTGGATGATCAATTCTGATATACAGACTATATGGTTTCTCAGATGGGCCAAGGGGAGTTGAGCTCTGGTTGTCTACAGTGGTAGTCAACTTAATAACATACCTTTGAATTGGCTTTTTCTGCTGACCTGTTTCACTTTTCTTAGTCCTTCCACACTGATACCTTGCTTTTAAGGAAACCAAACTAGACACCATTTATTTATGGAAGAATGTAGGTCATTTGTATTATAGAATTTCCCACATTCTGGATTTTACTGATTGCATCCATAAGGTGTTGTTTAACATGTTTCTCTATCCTTTGTGTTTCACCCATATATAAAATACATAGAAAGTAACTGAAGAATGAATATACCAAAGTGTTAACTCTGTGCATGTTGAAATTATCAGAAATTATTTTATTCTTCTTTGTATGTTTCTTTATTTTCTAATAGACTTTATATATATACGTGATTCATTCAACATGTATTGATTGATAGTGATGAGTTAGAGAACATTCTAGGTGCAGGAAATACAGTAATTAATAAAATGGACAAAAAGTCCTGCCCTCATAAATAATCTTTTATAATTAGAAAGAAATTAAAGGTATATAAAACTTCTCATTAATTGCATTGAGCTTTTAATTTAGAGCATTGGCTGGGCACTGTGGCTCAAGCCTGCAATCCTAGCACTTTGGGAGGCTATGGCAGGAGGATCACTTGAGACCAGGAGTTCAAGACCAGCTTGAGCAACACAGCAAGACCCTGTCTCTATAAAAATAAAAGTAAAAAAATTAGCCAAGCGTGGTGGCTTGTGCCTATAGTCTTAGCTACTTGGGAGGCTGAGGTGGAGGGATCACTTGAACCCAGGGTTTGAGGTTACAGTGGGCTATGATCATGCCACTGTACTCCAGCCTGGGCGACAATGTGAGACCCTGTCTCAATAATAATAATAATAATAATAATAATAATAATAATAATAATAAATTTAGATTCCTTTAAATTAGTTTCAGCACCTTGTTTTGTGATACTGAAGGAAGAAAGTAAATAAAGCTTGCATGGGCGCGGTGGCTCATGCCTGTAATCCCAGCACTTTGGGAGGCCGAGACAGGCAGATCACAAGGTCAGGAGATCAAGACCGTCCTGGCTAACATGGTGAAACCCCATCTCCACTAAAAATACAAAAAAGAAAGCTTGCATGTAGATAAAAATCTTATTTGTGTTGAGAAAAACTTTAGATAAAATTTAACTGAGTTTAATTGAGCAAAGAACAATTGGCAAATCAGGCAGCCCCCAAACCAGAATAGGTTCAGAGAGCCTCCAGTGTAGCCACATGGTGGAAGATTTATGGACAGAAAAAGGAAAGTGACGGACAGAAGATGGAAGTAAGATACAGAAGCGGCCAGATTAGTTACAGCTTGGAGTGTCCCTTATTTGAACGTGGTTTGAATGATTGGCTGCAACTTGATGATTGGCACAAGAGTATGTTACACATATGCAGTGAGGTTACAGTTCACTATGTACAGAGGAAGCTTTAGGCTGAACTTAAAATATATAAGGAGGCAGCTTTAGTCTAAACTTAATTGAACAATTCCCCTCTTTTGGTCATCTCAATGGAGAGATTGACCGAAACTTTAGTCATTGATGTCACTCTGTCATCACTGTAAATGTACTGATTTGGTCTCAAATCTCACTGGGAGATAGCACGACATGGAATCTGTAAGTTGGGAACAGGACTTCAGGTTATTTTTTGTAAGTGTTAGAGTAGAGGGGACTTTCTTATGCTGGAATCTCTTGTTTTCAGGAGTAAGACAAAAACTGGTCT